AGCTAAAGATCAGCAAGATCTACAGATTTTGAGATTGAATGATTGTTTCAATGTCTTATGGCCTAGAGAGCCCTTTCTTACAGACAAAAATATAACAACATTTTAAATTATAAAATTTCCATTACAATATACATAATATTGCCTTCATTATAATGTATTTAACAATTTTAAAGTTAGTAAATTAGTATGACATATATGTTACTATGTATAAAACTAATAAATAAAATAACACAGTAAGAAGAAAGAGAAAAAAAAGATATTATAGGTGAGGCTAAAATACTAAAAACCGAAAAATTGCAAGATTAATAGGAAATATAAAAAATAAATTAACTATCTATATGTATCTCTTTATCTATATTAACATATATTTGTAATACGTAAAGTATCTCATATCCATTTATTAAATTGTTTTGTCTCATAAAATCTCTGATTTCTAATATGTATATAAATATTTAATGAGACAAACATAATAAAAATAAACTTTAATGTACCTAATACTAAACTAATCAACATTTTCAAATTTACAGTATCAAGAAAAGAAATAACATCTTACACAAACTTTACGACCAATTTTAGAGATAATTTCTCGAGCCCAAAACGTTTTGAGAGATATCGAAAATCGATTTAAAGATAGTCATTAAGCTGAATGAATATTCTATATGGTAGCCATTAAATAAGAAGAGAAAGCCGAAGATTCGATAATTTCATCGATAACGACCCATCGATTATTGCCTAAAACAATATTTAAATAGAAAGAGAATATATATATATATATATATATATATATATTTTTTTTTTTTTTTAATTTTAATTCGAAACGTATCGAATACAGATACTGAATATGTTTCACAAAGGCTTGGCCTGTCGGTATCTAGGAGGCGTCAAGATAGGTTCAATTCCCTTATCAATGTGGGTTACTTCTGTCCTTATCTAACGTATTTTGATAGAAAAAAAAAAATCAATAATACAGCAACAGCTTGTTCAGTATTCTAGAAAGAAAAAAAAAAAATAAGAAAGATCATACCTAAGTAAAATCTCAAAAGCTTAAATGAGGACTTTAATTTGGAACAAACTGTCAATGTTTACAAAATCGATTAGAAAAATCTTAAGTATCCAAAAAATTGATGAAGGCATTTACGAAACCTGTTGGAAGTTATTTTGGGGTAATCAAAATATATTAAAATTTAAAATGGCTAACATCACTCAAAATAGGTGCACCTATAACATGAACTAATGCCAACAAAAAAATTTCCTACACTAACCATCTCATCCAATACTGAGTACTGGCTTAGTAAAATTTGTATTGATAATATGGAAGCCAATTGAGAAAATGGTAATTTATTAAAATATAACAATTTTAAACATTTTAAATAAAAATTCTATTGATATAATAAATTAAATTATTGCATGATATTAAATAATTATGAATACGACAGCTAAGCTTTTATATGATGACGGATGTTTTTTTTTACATCAGAAATTGAGACATAATAGGTAAATATATTTTTCTATTTCATAAATATAAATGATAGTACAAATAATTATGCACGAAAAATTGATAAAAAATACTGTAAATAACTATGTTGCGAAAAAAAAAAAAATCAGACTTGAAAATGGCTCAATGGTTCAAACGTCGCCATTTCAAAATAAGTATATAGTTTACTAATGGTTTCATGAATTATAAACTGAAATAATATATGACACCGAAATGAAAGAAAATTATAATAAAAAATAAATAAAATTAATTCCTTATTATATATCAGGAGCGAAGGACTTTTTCGAAGGAGGTGTCAAAAGAAAATTAATTTTATGGCGAAGCAGCGAATTCCTCATTTTCGGATAACGAAAGAAAAGTTCTCAAGATGGACGAATGGTACAAAAAGTTCATTAGAGAGGGACAATATATATATATATATATATATATATATATATATATATATATATATATATACATATATATATATATATATATATATATATATATATATATATGTATATATATATATATATATATATATATATATATATATATATATATATATTTATCTTTTTTAAGGCCTTTTACACGATCAAGTTTATCTATCAACCAGTTACATCGCGTGAGCAAATTGATCGAAAATGATGGAGATTGTTGACCTAACTATAGCAGCGCTGCTAGTGTTCATGAATTATGATCTATGAAACTATTCTTTAAAACATGCTGGGTATCTTATCATTTTTCTATTATGTTGCTGTCTATATGACTCCGCGTTTCGGTATATTTTATATTAAAAACGATGGATTGTAGACATGACGAAGTTTAAAAATTAATTGAAGCGATAAATATGAGTTACACCATGTCGGTACAACATTTATAAAGCTAATTTAAACATTTTTGGCGGTATTTTGCTTAATTACAATGCCGTGTAATTTACTATCAAGAGTTGAGGATAGGTCGGCACAGTTCCTTTCCGGAAACATTCGCGTTTTTTTCGGAGATCTAAGAGTAACGAAACAAAACTAGTTTGTTGCTCTTGACGTACTAGTTATTGGTTGCTCTTGACGTATATAATCATTTCTTTAAGTATTTTCAATTATTTACGGGACACGCCATATATTTAGTTATTGATGAAAATGTTAATTTCGTTCTACCGTGTAATAATAAATTCACGAATAATAAACTCTGAATAAGACAATACTCGAAGTAAAGTACAAGATATCTACACAGTCTCGACTTAGTTTGAGAAAATTAATAGTGTAAAAGTCTATGAAGTCTATATGGCGAACTCCTCAGGTGGTTAGAAAGCAAACTACTTGACTACAATATATAAATAAGAAAAACAATAACTTTTATATCGAACGTATTTTATTTTATATCTAAAATTATTTAAATTGACTAATTAAAATATGCTTTTACAAGTATTAAGTTGAGGAAAAAGTATTTTTTTTTTTTTAATGTTTTTCAAAGTGAATTTATTTATATAATTTTCAAACACTAATCAATGATATTCGTACCGTAAACGAGGTACTTATTTTAAGATCTAAGAAAAATTATAAGAGAAAGGAAAAATATGACAATAATTTGTAATGTATAATGAATCATGAATTAAAAAAAAAAAAAAAGAAGAAGGCAGAAAAAAGGGAGTAGAAGTTGAGTAAGGGAGCCCCTAGGGGAAAAGTTTCAAAATTTAAAGTAGGGGGGGGGGCGAGGGATTGGAGTTTAGTGCCATTAAGAGAAGACACGCTAGAGCGGGAATTATTAACAAGGGAACTTTCACACCTTACTCACGGTCCTCCCCTTCCTCCCCGTCATCATCTTACTCCTCCCTCCTCACCTCCATTTTACATCCAATAAACTTGAAGCTATTCCTCGAAAAAAAATAAATAAATAAAATAATAGCCATAAAAATCATAAAGCATTCTATACCGAGCGGGCCATCTGAATCAGTATTCCAAATCGATTTAATATACACTAAAAACTTAAAAAGAAAACGACAATCCGTCATCCTTTTAGCTCAAGTTTTGAAGAAAACTTATTTCACACTGATATACATAATCAAGCCCGATGCCCAAGATCTCGCATTCGAGTACAGCTGAGAAAGGCAATTAATTATTCTGTTATATCAACCATTTAATCGACCCCGAGATTAGGAGACTCTCCAGGGACACAATCAGCTACTATAAAGAGGGTTTCCCAGTTTAAATAATTAATTAAGTGAGAAACCAGGCGTTTGATTGTGATCTGTTTAATTACCTCCATGCAGAACTATTGACCCACTTGAAACAGTATTTCCTTATACCCTTTCTTTTATTGAACCCAAGACCCGACATGGGTTGTAATGGTCCAGGGATATATAACAACCCGTTTATCCGGTACTCAGACATCGCCGTTTAAACAGGAGAACCGATTAATCCGGAGTTTAAAGAAAATGCTCTTATATCAGTTTAAGTTTATTAATAAATTAAAAAAAAAATTACCATTTTTTTTTCTGTTGGCATTACAGACCATGTAGATCTTTTGCCGATTTAACAAGCCTGTTCCATCTATGCCTCTCTTAGTATATTTCTTTCTATTTATCTGCACGCAGCTCTGTTGTATCTTTGTTGATTCTATCTATCCATCTGCTTTTTGGCCTTCCACTTTTTATTGAGGCATAAATTGTTACATAGGGGCTTCCAGATGGATTGCAACGAGCTACATGCCCCGTACATCTTAACCCCCGTGCCTTCATATCATGGAATATTGATTGACCAGTTTTTTTAAGCAGTTCTTTATTGGTTTTTCATCTCCATGTGTTAGAACTCTTATCACCTATCGCTCCGGTTATCTTGCGGAGGATTTTCCTCTCAAATTTTTCAACAGATTTTTCTATGGTACTGGTTAGTGTCCAGGTCGTACATCCATACATTAGAACTGGCTTTATTACATAGCATTTATTATAATGCTGCTACCATTTATTATAATGAAAATTTTATCCTATGAAAAGATATTTGCTGTGAGTTATTTCGTTAATTTTTGTTGGTTTGTTACCTTTTTAAAATCCATTGGTTTCTACATTGTTAATCCTCTGAAGTCAAGATAGGCAATAAATAATTTATTTTTTAGTGAAAGCGTTAATTTTGAAACTAGTCAATTCTGCGAACAAAATAATGTTCTTTTGCTTTTTACCGCCAATTAATCTGTAGATACGGTTAATCAGTGTTTTCGAATTATATATGCATCTACCTGAGCAGCCTCTTTGAGTGTGTACATAAAAGAAGCAAGCTTAAGAGAGTTTAAAATTATAACGGCGAAATGTATTATAAAATAATTTAAATCCCAAAATCTGTTAGATCTCTGACCAACAAAACAAGAAACGCCAAATTCCATTTATCAACAATGTACGGAATATAAACTGCTAAGAGCGGTTGAAGACTTCTAGTATGTGACTACTTATATTTTTATTAATTATTATAATGATAATTTTTAAAGAATTAATAAATAATATTTATAAATCTTTTTTGAGGAAGCAACAACTCACCCAATTTTGTGTTGCTGCCCCTTCAACTGGCTCCGCAGCGGCAGAATCTATCACCTGGGAAAGGACCGGAAAAAAAAAGAAAGAAAAATAAATCAAACATTTCATAAATCAAAGTACAATAAATAAAATAAAATAAAACAATGTGAAGAAAAGGTCTATAAGGAATGTAATATTTAAAAAAATATATGAACCGTTAATATTTTCAATAAAAGCGTACGAAAATATAAGCAGAATGTATTACAGATTTTACAAATTATATAAATCAATTATTATTTCTTAACGAAAAGTATTCGAATACTTGGGCTATACAATAACCTCAAGACGCAACTAGAGCTTTCTTCATTCTTTCTAAGGTATTGAAATCAAGAACAATTTCAAGAAATCTCAATTTAAGTGTGCACAACTATACGATGAAGCCATATTTTAAGCTGGACACTAACAACCTATAAAAAAAAAATATATATATTTTTTTATTTGTCGACCCAAGACTTCTACTTAAGCCCTATACTGCCCCTTAAGAAAGAAGCATTAAAAATTTTGAGAGAAAAATCATCCGCATGATAACCGGAGCGATCTGTGGATCAGAGATCTAACTTATGGAGGAGAGAGACCAATGAAGATCTGATTACATAAATTGGTCAACCAATACCTCATGATATAAAAGGGAGGAGGTTAAGATGGGCGGAGAATGAAGCAAACAATCGGAAAGCCAGTACACAACAACGATAGCCTCGTTAGTAGTCAAAAGAGCATACGCAAGAATAAAAATTAAATGGATACATACAGAGTAAATTGTCCAATAATGGCTAAGATGGAAAAGGCTAGTTAAGGCGGCAAAAAATATCTAAAAGACCTGTAATACAAAAAATAAAATGGTCTTGAATATTTGCAAGACCAAGACCGTCTAATTGTAGAAAGACCAAGACTGCCTTTTGGTAAGATTTGAGAAAGGATTCTTGCTTCACACAGTTAAGTGAAACTGTGACTATTTTGAGGGATAGTAAGGTGCTTTAACAACTCACCTTAAATCAAAACAGAGTTGTTTTTCTTGTGGAATTGTATATTTGAGTATAGCTATCAAAATAATAAAAACAGATTTAAAATTTTCCAGGACCAGGGAGAGAAAGGAAAAACATAACATGGTTATGTCAATAAAAATTAAGGCAAAATAGTTACTAGAAATAGATAATTTTAGTTACTACAGTAAAACGTATCAGAAGCAAACAATTGCAGAGAATAAAAAAAAGTGTCCATTATAGAGAGATGTCCGTTTTACATAAACTGGAAGTAAAACATAATAAAAATTATAAATCTAAAATTGTATTTTATAAGGTATATATCGTGCAAATGAAATCGCTTATTCAGTTAAAAAATTTTACTTTTAAAATTTACAATCCCCCCATGAGACGAAGGCGTACCACTTCACTCCCTGCTACGTCACCTGAACTGCCCTCATTAAAGAAATGAACAGAAAATAGAATAATAATCTTGTTAATTTCTTCAGGTAGAAGAAATGAACTGATGACTAATAAAAGGCAAGATAGCTCTTTCTAAAGTAATCATCAGATAAGAATGATTCAGAGGTAAAAAATCTCCTCCACTTAATTCTGCCTCATGACGATTCGCCGGCTCAACGTTATTTTAGCAACGGATCTACATAAGTAAAATCAAGGATGTTATGGTCATGATCACATCTATCTGAACATAGAAATAAAGAGAAAAAAATTAAATACAAAGAGGTCACAGTAAGAGTGGTGGTCTGTGATGGTACAGACCTCTTTTTATCAATTTGTTAACATCCGCCTAAATCACTTTATTTCATCGTAACCTACAACATTTTTCTTTACAAAGATTCTCGGAATTGGGGCGTTTTTAATCTGGATGTGGTCAAACTTTGTCTATTTAATTATGTACTAAAAACACGTAAATAGCCATTTGCTTTCCACTTCGTAATATAATTTGTTCACAAAACGAGAAAAAAGGAGGCCTACAAAAATATCGTGCAAAAATAATATTTGACGTGACCTCTTCCCCCAACATTTCAAAACAACGAGGTAATGTAGGCCGAACGGCCTAATATTTTTGTAGCCCCGCCCTTTTTTTTACATTTTTTTACGATTCAAAAGGAAAGCAAATGGAAATAGTTTTTAGTACCTTATTAAATTGGTCAATAATAAGAAAGAGCTCTATTTCTGAGAATTAGATCTGTAGATAAAAACGCTGCAAATTATTTCACAATGGTTTCATTCCAAATAATTATATATCTAAAGTAACATTACTTTCCTTGTAACATAAGGAAAAAATAAATTTTGTAAACTTTTAAATGACCTTATACACTAGCGGATCCAGGTTTAATTTTTGGGGGGAGGGCTTCAGCCCGAAAGCTTGTTTTCCCATAAAAATAACGATAATTACTTTGGAAAAAAAAAAAAGAAATAAACTAGCTACCTATATGAAATGGTGTTTAAATGATTCCCAAAATCCTTTTAAATGTAATTACACGAACAATAATACTTTAAGAGATAATTGTTTTCCATAAAACATGGTTATATTTTACCATTTTGGTTGGGATTCAGCCCCAAAGCCCCCAATCTCCCTGTGACCATATACAACATCAACAAAAAACTGTAAACTTTAAGAGTTATGCGGAAATCTACTTTTACCATCCCTTGTAACTTTTCTTGAAGCTTATTTCCATTGTATTATATAGATAAAATTTTAAGGGTTTCGAAAGAGAAGACTTTAGCTAAGTTCCATTGATATCGGTAGTACATCCGATCAGGCGCTACAGTCTGTATAGACAGATTTTTCGACAGCCATCTTGAAAGACAAATACTTTTCGGTGAAGTATGTTCCATACATATATTTAAAGACCACCGAGAAGAAGACTTTAGACAAATTTAATTGAAATCAGTGCATTCGTTAAGGCGCTACAGTCTATAGCAATACAGGTATTTCAACCGCCATATTGAAAGAAAAGGGCGGATAGTAATGTCGACGGATGATCTCTGACTTTGATTCCAAATTTGAAAAAAATCGGTCCAGTAGACTCGGAGAAAATATGCGGACGGCAGGCGGACAAACAATTATTTTATTCGATTTTCCAGTTCTACGTATCCTGAGGCGTAAAACCTCAAATTTTGATGGAGGGGGCCAAGTTTTTGGAATACTGCAGTGGTTCATTAACGAAAATAATAAACCAAAATTCGTAGGATACGATATGATGAGGCCATTTACAAAGATTTAGGAGAAATGAAATGAAAAATAATTTTATTCTGAGACTGGGGATAGAGTTTAAAAAATATGTACATTAGTCTGGCATGTATCATAGAAATATATACAAAAATGCCTAGGAAATTGTAAACACACACACATAAAGATACTTTTTTTTTTTTTTTTTTTTTTTTTTTTTTTCTTATGCCATTCGTTGGTCATTTGGCCATCCGACATCTTGCTGCCCAGTATAATTTCGATTTTCTGATATGTATATTTGAAAATTTTTTGTCGCTTATGTCCCTCAAGGCAGGACATGCGTCTAGATGGTCTCCATCCATTGTTCCTAGATGGCACAATTTACAGGTAGGATCCTCAGCGACGCCTATCTTGTAGAGATGACTCTGCAGATAGTCGTGACCAGTGGCCAGGCGGAAGCAGGCAACTGCATCTCTTCTCGGCAGCTCAGCTGAAATCGGGTTATCCTTCAACCACTCGTAACGCTTCACTTCCACTTTGCTGAAATGAACTTTTCTTATTTCCTCCTTCACTACCAATTTCACCATTCGCCGTATAGAGTCGTAAGGTTTTGGATGTATCGGCTGAGGCAAATCTGTTCCTCGCTTGGCAAGAATATCAGCCTCAACGTTACCCGGAATCCCACAATGGCTGGGGATCCACTGTAGGACCACATTGGTGCCTCGGTGTGTCAGGTTAGAGAGGAGGGATTTGCATTCCAATATAGCACTCGATAAACATTCATTCGTGCTTGTGACAGCAAGGATGGCTGCTTGGGAGTCGATGAAGAGAACAGCGCTCTGATCCCGTCTTCTAGACAATGTTCTTAAGGCTATGAGGATCGCCCCTATCTCACCGTCGAAATTTGTTCCATCTTTTCCCACCGCAGCGCTGATTTGGAATTCTCTTGAGTAAACCCCTGCTCCAGCATTTTTAACGGCTGATTCAGCTGATCCGTCGGTATAGATATGGAACCAATCTTGAGGAGGGTACTTTTGAGCTATGGTTTCCAATGCTAATGCTTTTAGCTTGTATTCAGGTGTTTTTTTCTTATCCACCTTATGAAGGAGTTGCAGTTCTGCATTGCATGCGTGATTGTGAATTGGTAACTGTGGATGTATAAATGGTTCCCTTTCTTCGCAGTCAAGCCCTCTTTCTTCAAGTAGTGCCATCGCCTTCAGCATGAAGGATTTTTGTGTCTTGAGCCGTTGAGAGGGGATTTTGTATTTTTCCCAAAACTCTTGGTCTATTCTTTTCATTCGCTCGTGAAGGCACATTGCAGCTCGCTCACGCCGTTTCGATAGAGGTTCTACTGTGGTCTGCAGTTCCATAGCCACAACAGGGGTTGAGCGCGGTGCACCCAAAATCAAACGCAGAGCTTTGTTCTGTTGGTCGTCTAATCTTTTCAGGGATGCATCAGCCGCAGTACAGATGACTTCAGAACCGTATTCCAATACTGGGCGTACATAGGTTTTATATGCAAGACCCATCACATCCTGGGTGGCCCCCCATGTTTTTCCTCCAAGGCGTTTCAGAAGTTTTAGCCTGTTTTCCCCCTTTTTCACCATCTCTTCAATTTGGCTGTTCCAGATCATTTTTGTATCTAACCTAACTCCAAGATATTTACCTGCATAAGTTCTTGGTAAAGGAACATTATTGTAGATTATTTCCAGCTCGCACCCTTTTGTTGATAAGGTGAACAGTTGGAATTCAGTTTTCTGCGTATTTACTTCCATTTCATTACACTTGGCCCAGGTAAAAAGTCTTGCCATTGCCTCATTAATTGCTGCTTCGAGTGCTGTTATGTTGCTACTAGTCGCATA